CTGGTTTTGGAGGTATGGTGCTGCTCACCCTAACTGTCCCATTGAGATTCTTTGCCATATTTGACACCATAGATGATTATTTTAATTGGGATACCAATATTAAACAAGAAAGCAATGTCTGAAGTAATACTTTTGATTTGCCTTTTACTAGGGAGCATATCAAGGAATATTGGTGAACCTTTGTATGATATTAGATGGAATTGTGTGCAAGGGAGATCTCTCTCCTTTCAGAGATTCAGAACATTTTCTGAAATGGTTTTATATTAAAATAAGCTGTCTGGAAACCTCTTAGATTTCACGGTTAAGTGATTATGATTATATTAATGTTTCAGCTCCTCTCCCCCAGTTTACAAACTATTTTCATTGGTTACTCACCTCATTGCCTGACAGATGATACATTCTTGCTTCTTGAAGCAGAGGGAAGACATCAGGACACTGTCGAATGAGTTGATCAGCTTCTACTGTCTCTACAAAATACCAAGGGTCCAAAAGGGGCAGCCGGACATTCTCAAGAACATAGGGTAGGCGAGGAAACCGTTCAGACTCCTTGTATCGAACCCAGTTCATGACAATCTCAAAGACCTGCGCCTCCTCCGTGACGTAGAGGTCATCACTCTTCAGTGTGTTGCAGAGAACGTCAATGGGGATCTCCAGGAATTCCTCGTAGTTCAGTGCTTGAGCAAAGTTCTGAATAATGTAGCTCTGGACTTGCTGCTTCAGATTCTCCAGAGAATGAGTGTCGGCCAGCCTCAGAATCCCAACACAGTTTTCCGGCTGGAGGGCTTCGGTGAGGAAACTGGCACAGGCATCCACCATCCGCAGAAACTACAGACACAAAGAGCACATCCGGTACCATGCAGTTATGATACATTTCTATTGTGGTAGGTGTGGGAGCCCCCGTTAAGGGCCAGCCCCCCTTGTGCTAGGCACTGGACAAACACAAACCCAGCAGAGGCCCTTGCCCTCAAGGCTTCCAAACTGAGCACAAGACAAGAGATAATAGACAGCTACAGACTGCTGAGGACAACGCCTGAGACAATACAGCATGACAAGCAGTGTCACAGGCAGCACGCGGCAGCCTAACCAATCTCCAGGTCTGGGGGTTTTGGAAGGCATCATAGTAGGACTTACAAGAAGTAGGGAAGTAGGGTTACCTGGTAAAACCAGTGGGGGCTGGAGCAGCTTCCCACCTGCCATGGGCAGGGAGCTGCTCCGGCCCCAAGGGGTGTCTGCAGCAGGCCCTGAGAGAACTGCAGGCAGAGGCTGCTCCAGTCCTATGGAGCTGCTCCTGTCCACAGTGGGCCCAGGCACATCACAGGCAGGGCTGCTCCAGATGACCAGAGCAGTCCCTGTCTGCAATGCAACCAGGCCCATCATGGATAGGGCTAGCTGGAGCAGCGCCTGCCTGGGGGGGGGGGGGGGGGGTTGATTCCCCCCTGCCACAGTGGGCAGGGGGGCCACTTGAGCCTAGTGGGGCTGGAGCGGCCCTGTACCCACCCTCCCTTTAATCTGTTAACCAGTTAAACAGGATTTTACATCCCTAATAAAGGGTATAATCAAGGGCAACATATGTGGTTTTCAGCACAACTTAATGTGAGGAGTTACTAGTGGCAACACGTCTGTGACAGAAGGAAGTCGGTATCCATAAGGATGGAGAACTGAAGCACAGAGCCGGTTAAGTGACTTGCCCCAGCTCAGATGAGGAGGCCGTGGCTCACCCAGGAAATACACCTGAATCTTCTGAGTGCCAGCCCCATCTGCTAGAGCAGCGATGGCAGCCAAGACTAGCGAGTGGGCCGCATGGGTGGCCTCCTTCACCTCAGTGGGCTGCAAGGTTGAAATCCAGTGATGGGCACTGCATGTGGACTATTGGCGTTCCACCTGGAGGAGGCCCATGCACCCCCCTCTGCCCCCTGATGCCACGCCCTGCACTTACCTGCCCCTCTCCTTCCCTCCCAGTATTTTTGGAGCAACATAAATCAGCTGATTCACACTCTTCCCGCTCTTTCCCAGAGCTGATTCTGCTCCAGTTGAAGCTGGTGGGAGCTGCTGGTGTGAAAATCCAGGCCCATCATGTGCGTGAGGCCTGGCTGACGGGAGTGAGTTTGAAGAGAGATTTGAATGGACGGAAGACGTCCAGTCAGCTCACAAGGAGAGGGGGAGAATTCCAGGCATTGGGAGTGGCGTGGGAGAAGGAATAAATGGGGCCTGTGAGTCACGGGGGGTGCAGGTGGAGCCGTGAGTGTAACAAAAGCCATGCTGTTCCAGTTCTATCAGTGGTGGCTTGGTGAAGAGGCCATCAAGTTAAAGGATCTGGTGGAGGCAGCCATAGAGTCTTTGAACTTCAGCTGCCAGTATTTGAATGGGGTATTACAAATGTCTGCAAAGGGGCAGATTCTGATCTCACTTGCACCTATGGAGTAACACTGCCATCTGACCCATTATTCGGAAACTGCTGTTTGTTTTGCGGCAGAGCTTTTGTATAGGCTTTTCTCCTGCCTGGCTTCTGCTCTGTTTTAACCGTGTGAGATTCACCGTAATGTAAAGGGGCACTGTCAAGTTGAAGAGTTTTAAACTGATTCATTTTAAAAATCCCCTGTTTCTAAGAGAACAACCTTTAAACAATATGCCGTGAGGTTAAAACGAAAACCATTTTTTAAAGAACTCCAAAGGGAGGGGATAGGAGACAGGCCCAAGAGCAACACTAGCAGAGGTTCCTCAGGCTCTCTCCTTCTCCGGCCCCTCTGTGTACACGTGTGCCCACTTGATCAACAGCCGCATCCCCATCACGGAGGGCATGTCTACACCTAGAACACTACAGCAGCACAGCTGCAGCACTTTGGTGTAGACACTCTTCTCCCATCACTGTAGTTAGTCCAGCTCCCTGAGGGGTGCAGCAGATTGAAGGAAGAATTCTTCTATCTACCTAGCACTGTCTACACTGGGGGCTAGGTTGGCATAGCTGTGTGGGCCTGTGGATTTTTCAAACCCCCGGCTCCCCGGATGCCATAGCTTTGCCACGGTACATTTTCAGTATAGACCCAGCTGTGCGGTCATGGAAACCTTTGTCTTGTTGACTCTTATTGTTGCCTGTGCAGGAGGCTGGGCAGAGAAGAGCGGGTCTCCTTAGGCCCTCCTCCCGCAAGTTTGAATTGCTTCCTGGCCCCATCCAGAAACAAAGAGGGCTCCCTGCTCCACACTGTCTCCATTGCTCACAGGCAGAGGTCTGGGAAGTCCAAAAGGGGCTTCTCCCAGTCTCCACCTTCCCTGGCTCCCATTGCTCCATGCAAGGGTCCCAAGAAAAGGAGCCACTGTGAAATGGTAGCAGCTCTGCTGCTTTGTTACTGGCTAAATATCCACTGGGGCTGCGTTCACACGAGACTTTTGTGAGAAATCCCCCAGCATTGCTGCTGCCAGTATCTCTCCGCCAGTTGGAAAGTGAGAGCAGTGGAACCTCCCAGGGCTGCAGGCATTTCTACCCGCTGGCTCAGAGCAGGTCTAGATGACATGGGGGTGGAAATGCAGGGGGCTGCCAATACCCTGCCTACATTAGCACCAACACCCTGCCACCATTGGTGCCCGCTCAGGGATACTTCGGTCCAGGAACCCTAGTCGTGCTAGGCTGGTGGAAAAACAAACCGTGTGAGCTCTCCCAGCACAGTGCAAGGGAGCTCCCTTCTCAGGCCAGTGTGAGCATGATGTCATCTTGCTGGTGGATGAGACAGGAAGTGAGAGGACTAGCCATCAGCAAAACAGTGACACTGAGTTATAAAAGTCGGAGGCCAGGCCTCCTGAGGAAAACACTAACCTCTGAGTGTGGTAATTGCAATAGATTTTAAAAAGTCAGACAGAAATATGGTTTTCTAGTTGACATTTCCCTTTCAATCAAAAGGAAGATTCTGGAAATAGAGCGTCAGAGCTGCTGTGACAGATGCATTTTGACTTTTGCTCACTGCTGTTACATTAGGGTCCCAATCCCAATCCTGTTAATCCCCATATCCACTGACAACAATGTGAGCAAGATGAGGCTCCCGGTGATCAGCTCAATAAACGGAGAACCTGTCCTGAGCAAAAGATATTGCTAGTTACCCCTCAAGCTTGCTTTTTCCTGCCTCAGTGATTTTAACAGGGGAGTCGCGCACTGGTATTTAATATTGCTCTCCTTAGCCAGCTGGTAAAGAACAAAGTGCAGATAAGACTAATAAAAGGAGATACTATGAATATAATTAAAGGTAGTATCCTCATTTTTTTCTATTTAATGTCAATAGATTGGCCATTTTAATGTTATTGTTCTCCATGGTAAGGAAAATTGTATAACTGTAACTGAAGGGGAAAGAGAAGTGAAACACAGTAAACCCACCTTTAAATGCTAACGTATTTAGATTTGTTTAAATAATCGGGGCAGAATTTTCTGGGCAGACCTGTATCCTGTTGACATATGCAGACTGTTGACCAAATCTGAAAGATGACAAGCACTGGTTACAGACTATCTAGTTCCTGTTTTTCATTTACATGTGGTCAAGAGATTAGAGAAATGCAACTGACTAATGAACAGGGGATACATTAAAAATCAAAATACTGTGATCGTGGCTATAGCTTTTGCTCTAAAAATGTCAAGAGTGTGCCACAACGCAACTGCAGAGTTCTGAGGCTTCGGTGCTAGCTGGTCTGTCCCAGGGCTATTGAATTTCTCCATTGGGCTATCACTATTAACACTAATACTTTCCCCTTATCTTCCGAGGATCTCAAAGCACCCTGCAAACACTGATTAACCCTCTCTGCTGCCCCTGCTTTCTACCTCCCATCAGGTGGGCCTTATCCCCATTTTAGAGATGGGAGAAAATGAGTTACAAAGAATGACTTGGCCAAGATTACTCATCAAGTCACTCATAAGGCTGGGAAAGACCCTAGAACTCCTAACTCCCTGGTCTGCGGGCTGTGTTCTGTTTATACGTAGCCTAGTGAGAGTAATGTAGGTATGCACACAGCTGCACAAAAGTGATGGCAATAAGATGGCCCGTGCTTCTATCCTAAAAGGCTCGGCGTGGGTGGAGAGCGCTGTGAATTAAACTGCGTGGGTGCATCAGAAAGTAGCAAAAGTGTGAGGTGTGAAAGTAGATCAGACACAAGAAATGGAGAAAACAATGAATATCCAACAGGTCGCAATTATTTGGACCAGAATTGCCCCCGTCCCATTGCTCCCAAGACTGCCCTCTGGATTTCACAGTGTAAACAAAACAAATATATCAATGTCCATCTACTTGGGGACCCTATCGGTACTCGTGTGGTACCCGGAGGCTGAGTGGACACCCAGGGTAATGAGGATGGGGCCCACCCTCAGCCACCTCTGCCCTCAGTGGTAAGGTTGTTTTCTTTGCTTCTGCACAGCAGCAGCTTCTCCGGCAGCTCCCTGCCCATCTCCTAGCTGTTCCATTGGGAGCAGAAAGAAGGACACCTGCTTCCCACTCTTTTAATGTCTGTTGGGGCAGCGGGGAGGGGTGGAGACGCTGGCAGGGGTCTGTGAATCAATGTTCAGTGAGACTGGGTGAAGGGGAGTTTTCGGTCACAGCCCAGAGGAGCAGCCAAGGCTCTGGCAGCAGCACGCAGCTAAAACCACTCACCCTCCAGTCTATTGCAGTGAGGTAAAGGGTAGGGCCTGGGACAGACTCGGAGGGCGAAGAGGCTGTTGGGGGGCCAGGATAACACCAAAAGTGAGAAGGAAAAGTAGAATGTTGCTCAACACATTGTGAAACCCCTTCTAAAGCACGGGCATATTCTCCAGTAATGGCCTGGTATCCCGCAGTACTGCAGTAGGGTTGGGGTGATCGCTGGCAACAGTACTAGAATTTCGTATCCTTGCCTGGACTGATACCGTCAGCGGAGCATTCTAGTACTTCAGTCAGTGTTGTCACTTCTCAGGACTTATCATGAGTCTCAGGAGGTTCTGTGCTTCACTTAATGCCCCAGCAGATGTAGTCAGGCGAATAAAGCCAAACCTCAACTTTCAACTTTCATTAAAAAACAATAAAACAATTTCTAGCCCTCATGTTTTCAGAGTAAGGCCAGGCTCAAAAAATACCCAGAACAAGAATAAAAATAGTCCAGACTTTTGAAAAAAAATGCCCTGATTTTGTAATGCCAGGGGGCTCACAATACTGGACTGTTGAAAATGTTTGTGGGCCATTCCACTCAGACCATGGGTCTGGCGGAGGGGTGGAAGAGAAGTACAAATTGCCTTTTATTAAAATTAAATTACCTTTTCTGTGTCAAGGTATTTTCCTAACAAGCACACCGTCCAGAGTAAATATACTATTCTACAGGTAAGGGGTTAATCTCAGAGCTTGATATTTGTGATATTCATCGATTTTAAAGACTGACGGGACTGTTATGTACATCTAGGCTGAATGCAGGCTATTCAGAGTCCGTCTGCATCAGTAGAATGCCGTCCCACTGAGAATGCAATACCATGAGCTTTTAGACAGCATGTGTTCATGGCACTTTGGGGTCGGTCTTTTTGTTCCAGGTTCCTGCCCAGCACAATGGGTCCTGGGTTCCCATATGTGACCATCATGCAAATAAATAACATGAAGCCAAAGATCTCTGATGGGCTTGACAAATCAAAGAAGTGTGCAGCGCTTTGATCATGGGTGATGTGTTGTATTGTCCTGACAGTAAAACTGAAACAATCTGTTTGCATTAATCCATTTGTGCTGAACGTGCTTTTTCACTAACCTGGAAAAGGCTGGCGGCTTCTAAGACTTTCTGTACATTTTGCTTTGTGATCAGCACCTGGCTGGTGTAAGTGTAGTCCAACAGCATCTGCATGGTTTCCGCATCCACTCCTTGAATTATGATTTTTTCTTCATATTTTTCTTTTAAGTCATTGCAGAACATGGCCCTGAAACAAGAGCTGTTCACTGGTTACCCAAAAAGAATGAAGCATTCTGAAAAAACACAGCTACCAGATTTGAAGCTACTGCTATCGACATGTTCTACCAATGCAGAGTCCTTCTGGGTATGTCTACACTACAAAGTTAATTCGAACTAACAGACGTTAGTTCGAATTAACTTTGATAGGCGCTAAACTAAGGATGCTAAGGACTAGTCGACTATCCAATAAGCAAAGGCTATAAGTCCCCTGCTGATCCCAGGCTCCATGCAGGCGCTTTCGCTTTGAAATGCACAACAGCCCCTACTGGGGACTCTTGTACATTTCAAAGCTGGCATGCTGCATGCAGCCCGGAGTCAGCGGGACTTCCTGCTGGCCCTGGGCTGCACAAGGAGGTCCGCATTTCTCCTTTGAAATGTGCAAGAGCCTCAGCGGGAGCTCTTGTGTGTTTCAAGGGAGGAATGCGGAAGTGCCTGTCGACTAGTCGAATACTCAACTAGTAAATTACTTGATATTTAACATCTTTACACTAAACCCCGGTCTCCCTGACAACCTCTGCCTCAGATATAGCTCTGAAGACATACACTCTTACCCCTCAGGAGGTGACTTCCAAGCCAGTAGACACCTAGGCCTGTCCCACTGAGAGTACTCTTGGAGAACCACAGGAGGCTGTTAGAGGCAGAAATTGCTGCTAAATCCATATGGCTGGAAACTCTGACTAAGGGTGCGTCTACACTGCACTGTTATTTCTAGATAACTAGCGTTATTTCGAAATAATAATACAAGTGTCTACAAAGCCATTTTGTTATTTTGAAATAAGAACATAAGAACATAAGAACGGCCGTACTGGGTCAGACCAAAGGTCCATCTAGCCCAGTATCCTGTCTACTGACAGTGGCCAGCACCAGGTGCCCCAGAGAGGGTGGACCGAAGACAATGATCAAGCGATTTGTCTCCTGCCATCCCTCTCCAGCCTCTGACAAACAGAGGCCAAGGACACCATTTTATCCCCTGGCTAATAGCCTTTTATGAACCTAACCTCCATGAATTTATCCACTTCTCTTTAAACTCTATTATAATCCTAGCCTTCACAGCCTCCTCTGGCAAGGAGTTCCACAGGTTGACAACACGCTGTGTGAAGAACTTTCTTTTATTAGTTTTAAACCTGCTACCCATTAATTTCATTTGGTGTCCTCTAGTTCTTCTATTATGGGAATTAATAAATAACTTTTCTTTATCAGCCCTCTCCACACCACTCATGATTTTATAGACCTCTATCATATCCCCCCTCAGTCTCCTTTTTTCTTAACTGAAAAGTCCCAGTCGCAATAATTTCGAAATAACGGACGGCTTATTCCGAAATCTATAAACCTCACTCTACAAGGAATAACGCCTATTCCGAAATAGCTATTTTGAAATAAGGCTTGTGTAGACACTCCACTGCTGCTATTTTGAAATAGTCCCTCACCTGGGCCATGCTAAGTTATCTACCCCCGAGTGCCTCCTGGGCTCTAAATCGAGATAGCACGTCTACATTAGGGAAGCCTGCCTCGGACTAATTTTGAGGCTTCCCTGCAGTGTCAACGTGCTATTTTGAAATAAGCTATTTCAGAATAACTATTCCGGAATAGCTTATTTCAAAATAAGCAAGCAATGTAGCCATACTCTAAGGCTATGTCTACACTACAGCGTTTTTCCAAAAAAACTTCACTTGTGTCCACACTGCAATCACGTTCTTTCGGAAAAAAATCGAAAGAACAGAGGTGTTTTTCCGACTTTGGTAAACCTCCTTCTACGAGGAAGAAGCCTTTTTCTGAAAGAGCTCTTTCCAAAAAAGGCATGTGTGGACTGGAAAGAGGGACTTCTTTTGAAAGAAGAGGAAATAGCACAGGTGCTCTGGTGGCTACTTCATCCATAGTAATCACAGCTTACATGCGAGATAGCGTCCATTCAGTGTGGACGCTATCAGTCAAAAAAGCAGATAGTTTTTTCAATGAGCTTTGGCAGTGTGGATGCTCTCTTTCGGAAGAAGTTTTTTTGGAAGATCTCTTCCGGAAAAGCTTCCTCCAAAAGAAGCCTTCAGTCTAGACGTAGCCTAAGTCTCCCACTATGTCCTGGACCCTATGAGTCCCAGAGAGGAGGGACTGGGAACTTTACAGATGAAGATGCCTTTAGGACAGAGTTACTTTCTCTGCTCCAGAAGCAGCTTCTCCCTCTGATGAACCTCATGGAGTTTGCTGTGGAGTTGAGAAGCTTGTGTCTTCGGGTATAAGGTATATAAATGGCAATGAATCTGAATTGTGGTTGGCTTGGCTGTTAATATTGCCTTAAATGGCAATTTCCTTGTTATTGATGACGGTGTGTTTGTAGGCTATGTTTACACTGGCAACTGAGCGACAAAACTTTTGTTGTTCAGAATGTTAACCCCCCGCTCCTGAGAGACAAAATTTTTGCCACAGCAGCGTCAGGGTGAACTGCTGTTTCCGGCAGGAGCACTGTCTGGTTGACAACGCAAACACTGTTGTGAGCATGGAAGTATTTTGCCCCACTTTTAGCGACACAGTCATGTCATTCAAAGCTGTGTAGTGTAGACAAAACTAATCCTAACAGAGTATTGTGTACAGGATCTAAACCACAGAATTAACTAAGCGCCATCTCAAAACACTTTGCTTCCTCACTGGCACATTCATCTTTCTTTAATTTATTAATCCCCCTTTTAATTTTGAGTCTCTCTTCAAGCAGTTTTCTTCTATAAGATGAATGTACTGCTGGTGAATGGCTTCTCACTCCCAGTTCAATTCTGGTTTATGCACTTTAAATACCTGCTGATTATCCTGATCTTTGTCACTGAGTTCAGCTGTCACTTAGGGTTCGTCTGCTTTTTAGCTGTCCCTCTTGCGCAAATACATTTCTATCACTATTTTACATTAGATCGTCAATGTTCTTGCGCAAATTCAAGTGGCCAATGTAGACAGCTGGCAAGTTTTTCCGCAAAAGCAGCTGCTTTTGCGGAAAAACTTGCCAGCTGTCTACATTGGCCACTTGAATTTGCGCAAGAACATTGACGATCTAATGTAAAATAGTGATAGAAATGTATTTGCGCAAGAGGGACAGCTAAAAAGTGTTTTGTGCAAAAAAGCCCCAAAGGTGAAAATGGCGATCGGGGCTTTCTTGCGCAAAACCGTGCAAGAAAACTTTTCCGTTAAAAGCATTTGCGGAAAATTATGCCAGTCTAGACGTAGCCAGGAGGTCGAAGGGAGAACATTTCCCTTCGACTTCCCTTACTTCTCTTGGAAGCAGGCCTTCCGGCATCGACTGGTGCATGCCTCTTTGTTTGATTTAGTGTGTCTTCCCTGGACCCACTAATTCGAACCCTGAAAGATTAATAGCAGCAGCTTCGATCTTCTCTGTAGTGTACACGGACTCTTAGAGGCCAGGTGCCAGATTTCAAAGATGATTCAATCACAACAGTAAGATTAGAAGTACCTGAACCTTTTTTTGACTACAGCCAGAGGAAAACATGTGTGAGCGTCTCAAATGTAATTCATCTCCTATTAACCTGGAATGCCAAATCTTTCTAGGTTAGAAAGGACCACATAAGGATGCAAAGTTAGGAGAACTGTGTATAATTGTCTTGCAGACCAAAGTCTTCACGGACAGAAAAGGTGTGTGTTTCCTGCCAAACACAGATTAGCAACCTCTCTGGGAAGCGGAGGCCAGGTGCTGTCGTTTTTACCACAAAATACTTAGATGAGGTGAGCCACAGGCGGGGCCTATGCTGTTGACCTCTCCTAGCTAGATTTCAATAAAAGTGACCTGCACCTTCTCTACACTAGGGTTTTAAGCAAGATAGACAATCCATGTTAGTCTCCTGCTGTGCACGGCAGGGAAGACAGAGCCTGTGAGCAGAAGGCTTGTGCAGACCTAATCATTCCAAAGACTTGCCTCATTCTCATTTTCACTGCCCTGTAGCATTTTCCTGTTCCCTGCTTTCCTTCCTGGTTCCCACGGAAGTCAATGGCAAAATATCTTTTAACTTCAACAGGAGCAGGAGTTAGGCCCCTGTTACTTCTGTGTATTTTACTCTGTCATGTTATAGCAGGGGTGCTGCATGCTGTTGAGATGACATTTTCGGGTATTCCAGGCAGGCAGGCATTTGAGAGCAAAAGCACCGGTCACACGTTAGAGAGAGAGGGGTTCTATACAAAAAAGGAAAGAATTAAAGGGCACATACTGCACGTGTGGTAGTGGAAGAGCTTCATGTGAGTGAGAAACGGGCTGTTGTCCTAGGATGCAGCTGTTCTGTACCCTCACTTCTTTATCTCCTAGATCTGTGATTGTGGTCTTGTGGTAAGGCAGGGCACTAACAGCCGGGGAGGTGCAGCTCTGTTCTCACCTTATCAGCCTGAAACTGGAGTAACTCAGTGGAGTTACCGTGGCTTTCCGCTCTCACGGGGGAGCTTTCTGCACCTATCCTCTAACCTTTAAATGGGGGGAATAATATTTTCCCCTGCCCCCACTTCAGTGGGGTGAGGGGAGACTTGTTTACTGTGTGTGAGACCTGCTGAGACCCTGGGTTGAAAAGCGCTAAGCAACTCCACATCACTCCTCCTTGAAAGTCAGGGGGCAGAAATGGGGGGGAGGAGGGGTGTAACATCATGGAGGACTGGTGTCTCTTCCAGCAGCTCTACTGTGGCCAGGCAACTCTGCTCTACAAAATGGTGCCTTCCACGTGGGCCATACAGAAACATCCTGCAAGCCCCCAGCTGGACAAAGCTCTCGAGGCTGGGAATGCAGGGCACTACCACACCACTGCCCTGCTTTCAGATTTTCAGAATTGGGTGTCTAAAATAAGGCTTCAAAGTCCAAATTTAGACCCAGGAAATGGGAGCTGCTGTGCACCCAGCATTTTTGAATGTTAGGACACTTAGGTTCCTACATTTGGACTTAATGAGTGTAATTTTAAGCACCCGCATTTTGGCAAATGTTCGACTCTCATAACTAACAGTTGCTTCTGAAAATATTGGCCCCAGTTTCTGTGGGATTGTTTCTCCACTACCTGGTGCAAATCAGGTGTAAAATGCTGCTCTTCTGGTTTGGTACCCTCTTTACACCATTTACTTTGCACAGCTGGAGTGGAGAATTTAAGGCACGTTTAAGGATACAGGACTCCATCAAAACATTATATTATATATGATCTTCAATGATAACAGAGGAAGGACTGAAAGTTGATACCTCTGCCTGGTCCCTGCTCAACCCCTGTTTAAAATGTGAATTTAGCATGAACGACTTATACTATAAACTTAAAAAACAACAAATGGTCTGGTAGCACTTTATAGACTAACAAAGCATGTAGATGGGCTCATGAGCTTTCATGGGCACAACCCACTTCTTCAGATGGCTGGAGTTTTACTATGTTAGCATCCAAAATGTGTTAGGCCTTGTACAAACCTACCCCCCAATTCAGGATGACAAATGAGAGAAATAATTTTAGAAATCTATTTGCTCCCTGCAGACATGCAACATCCAATGAATCCATCCTTGCTCTTCACATGACAAAACCCAGTCAGTATCCACCCTCCTTTTTGAGCCATTTTGTGCCATATCCCAAAGGGCTGAGAGGGGCACCATACACCCAGGGGCATTTCATCCTCCCAGAGTCCTCTGCCAACAGCAGATGCCTGGCTGATAGCAGTCAGTGATGTGTGATGCCAACAGCCACTGCAGTCACACTGGGGATCCCTGGCTGGAGGAAGCCAATCTGTAATCCCCTGATAACACACAATACTGGTTTGACTGTTGGCCATTTTTCAGTTACATTATTTTAATTCAGATTTCCACTGTTCATTTTGTTTCCCTTTTTCCATATGGCACCACTACTACACTGCTTTCAGCTGCATGAGTTTCACATGTAAATCTTATTTTGTATTAGGTTTAGTCTCGGATGTCTAAAATAGCACTTCTCTTGTGATCTCTGTGAGTAAACTTCACTAAGCCTCCATGAAACTGGCACTTCCTACTCAAATCACTAATGCCTGCAGATTTGTTTCCCTCCAGTTTCCACTGTAGTCAGTCACCACGCCATCTCAACAGTTGACAAAAAATCCCAGCTATGCAAATGTGAAGGTCTAAACTGATAATGGAAAATGTTATAACTCATACTGTGTTTCTCCATGAGTCTCAAGTTTGTTCCTTCCAGTCAGGAGCCTAAAGTTCACTGTGGTTTTAAAAGGACTAAAGGTGGATTCTTTGGAATTTGTAAAATTTCTTCCTTACAAGAAGTTCCCATCTCTCAACTGATTTTACAGTAATCTTGGGAAAGACAGGAAAGAGGACACACATCCTTTTCCCTTCTCAACAAGTTTACAGACTATGCATTCTACCACATAGTAATAGTGAAAAAAGACAACTTCCACAGTCACACTAAAACAAAACTACCCCAAATTTGCAATGAATCAAGGATGCATACAATGATGGGTAAACAATGCTCAGAATATTTGGCTAAGATTTTGTCCTTCCATCGCCAATTGTTTTCCCTCCAGTTGTCTGTTTGGGGTAGACGTGACATGTTTGACATTGTTGCTTTCCTAATTTAAGGCTCCAACTGTCAAAGAGAGTAACGGAGACAGGGGTCCAAACCCTCTGAAAGTCGGCAAGAGCTGGGCACTCAGCCTGAGGCGCCTTAGAAACGCCCAGCCTCCGTGTACTGAGGGGAAAAGGTGTTGGTTTTAAAAACTGCCTTACCTGAAATAATTGCTTGCTGCCGCCAGGACCACACGGTGGCAAGAGAATTCCATGTGGTCCACACACAAGATGACATCCGTGAGAGAGTTTTCCAGCCTCAGGTTCTCCAGGCCATTTTGAAGCACCATAGAAAGCCCAGTGTCATCAAACTTAACCTTGTCCCCACTTGAGATTTCCACTAGGTCCCCCATCTTCCTGGAGTACTCATTGTCCAAAGAGACCAGAGGGTCTTCAGAACTTTTCTCCACTGTGTCCCCCATGTTGGAACCAGACCGTGTCATTCCGTTGGGGCTTCTCTCTAAAAGAGTTCCTAAGCTTCAGATGAGTTACACTGCCGAAGTTAAGCGGATTTCCTGTCCAGGGCTCTCCGCTTATCTACAGCTGTCACACACATAACAGGAAGCCTTGCACTTTCTCATCCTGTTAACACAAACAAAGGCTGGGAGGGTGGAGGTTTCTGTGAATTTCGGGCAATATCAACATGTTTAGAAAAGACTTAAGATGCTTCTAAATGTGAGAAGATTACAAATGATAGGGAAGGCCTCTCTCGCATCCTGACACTGGCCTTTTATTTATCCCAATTTGCTTATCCAAAATGAAAGGCGTCCTTTATGGATTCCAGGTCCATCCACTGGCAGTGAGTACTGAATGTGAGAAATGTCTGTTATCAGGCATAAATTCTCACAATTAGACACTTTATCATTTTAAATGCTGATGCCTGAGCTGCCATCTATAACATGTTTACTTTGTTGTTAGGGTGCTACCAAATTTACCACCATAAAACACACGTCACGGACCGCAAAATCTGTTCTCACTCTGTGAAATCTGGTCTTTTGTCTGCTATTTCTCTACACTGTGCAGATTTCACATGGGAGACCTGTGTTCCTCAAATTAGGAGTCCTAACCCAAAAGGAATTGCAGGGGGTCACCAGGTCATTTTAGGGGGGCACAGGATTGCCATGTTTACTTCTCAACTTTCTTTGGAGCTGGGCAGCTGGAGGGTGGTGGCTGTTGGTCATGTGCCCCGCTCTGAAGCCAGTGTTCCAGCCACCGCAGTGTAGAAGTAAGGCTGGTAATTCCATACATATCATGCCAACCTTGCATCTGCGCTGCTGACTCCAGAGCTGGGCGGCTGGAGAGTGGCGGCTGCTGGCCAGCTACTGCCAGCAGCAGCGCAGCAGTAAAAGTAGCAGTATTATAACCCCTCCCACACCACAATAACCTTGTGAAACCGCCCCTACACACAACTCAGTAAATACACCAGAAGTTCACGAAGTTCCTCTCATAACTGTGAAGCCTCATTGAGAATTATTTTATTTTGAGTACCAAGAGACAAATTCTCTTCCTGTCTCTGTAGCACCTGACAACAACATGGGTGTAGTTTCACTCTCCCTCCACAAGAGGGCCATCTGAGTATAGGGTGGACACCTGAATTGTATGCAATTGTGAGCCGCACAGGGCAGAAGAGGTTTAGGGCAGGATAAAAGCAACCTGAGTGTAGTGGGGTGGCTGCCCCATACTAGCTGGAAGGGGTTGAAGCAGGCTGGAGGGAGCGTGTGCAGAGCCTTGGCCAATCAGAAGAGGCTTTTAAGAAGCCAATCAGAGGGCAGCTTGCTGGGCCAAGCCCTGTATATAAGGAGCTTCCCAGCAAAGCGAGGCAGTCGGGTCCTGATGTTGGAGGGTGTGGGACTGGTTTCCTGAGAAACACTTTGGTGAGAGAGCAGTGCTGGACAGGATCAGGGGGGCTAGAGAGAGAGGCTTCAGCCTGATACCTTCCAGGCTGCTGGCCTTGACACAAGGGCCAGGGAGGTGCAGGAATCACAGGGGAAGTGGCCCAGGGAACAGGAGGCAGTAGAAGGGAGAGAAGGGGACAGGATGAGGCTTCTGCCCAAGGGTCTCTGGTCCAGGACCTAGAGTATTGGGTGGGCCTGGGTCCCCCCTTATCACTCATACCACACCTTGCTACCAGGAACAGTGGCCTATACAGACTGTGGCGTGCCCTGAGGCAGAGGGGCTAGGCTTTGGGGATGCAGTTGGCCATAGTGGCAGGGGAAGTTGAGAACTACTGATACCTCTGGAAGGGGGTGAGAGACCACTGTGGTGGGCACTGCTGGAGAGCAGTGTCCTGAAGAGGACTCCATGGTCTGGGAGTAATGTGGGTCCAGAGCAAGATCGTGAGAAGAGCACAGAGCGATGATGAGCAAGATATCTGCCAGGAGGCACCCTGCTGAAAACTGAGCTAATTCCTGGAACAACCAGCAGGAGGTGCCATGGCAGTGAATTGTGCCCCATGGGCACTGAGGAACTGAGGAAGAATGGAGTTCAAAGATTCATTGCTACAAAGATCCCCTCTGGGTTCTTCTCTTGTACTTTTATCCAACTTTTCCAAAAAGAAAGAAAGAAAGAAAGAAAGAAAGAAAGAAAGAAAGAAAGAAAGAAAGAAAGAAAGAAAGAAAGAAAGAAAGAAAGAAAGAAAGAAAGAAAGAAAGAAAGAAAGAAAGAAAGAAAGAAAGAAAGAAAGAAAGAAAGAAAGAAAGAAAGAAAGAAAGAAAGAAAGAAAGAAAGAAAGAAAGAAAGAAAGAAAGAAAGAAAGAAAGAAAGAAAGAAAGAAAGAAAGAAAGAAAGAAAGAAAGAAAGAAAGAAAGAAAGAAAGAAAGAAAGAAAGAAAGAAAGAAAGAAAGAAAGAAAGAAAGAAAGAAAGAAAGAAAGAAAGAAAGAAAGAAAGAAAGAAAGAAAGAAAGAAAGAAAGAAAGAAAGAAAGAAAGAAAGAAAGAAAGAAAGAAAGAAAGAAAGAAAGAAAGAAAGAAAGAAAGAAAGAAAGAAAGAAAGAAAGAAAGAAAGAAAGAAAGAAAGAAAGAAAGAAAGAAAGAAAGAAAGAAAGAAAGAAAGAAAGAAAGAAAGAAAGAAAGAAAGAAAGAAAGAAAGAAAGAAAGAAAGAAAGAAGGCCCAGTCCTTGACATAATGTACTGTATTGATTCCAGAAAGGACAGAAAGAGGGAGAATTCACTAGGAGGGTGGTGAAGCACTGGAATGGGTTCCCTAGGGAGGTGATGGAATTTTCATCTCTAGAGGTTTTTAAGTCCCAGCTTGACAAAGCCCTGGCTGGGCTGATTTAGTTGGGATTGGTCCTGCCTTTAGCAGAGGGTTGGACTCAATGACCTCCTGAGGTCTCTTCCAATTTTATGATTCTGTGAGTCTAATACTCTAATTAAAATGGGAAATGTTTTTGGAATATTTTTTAAAAAGCTAAGTTTTGAACTATGGAAAAAGGAAATGTTCAATTTTTTTATTCTCCTCCCCCCACCCCACACCAGTTTTTATCTAGCTCTAAAGAGACTTGAGTATGCTTAGGGTATGTCTACACTACATAGTTTGTAGTGACAAGGCTGTGTTGACACAGCCCTGTCACTAAAAGTCAGCATGAATCCATGCTGTCTGTCAGCACTTTTGTTGACAAAATACTTCCACCCCCAATGACGGGGTTTGGTTTTGTTAGCAGGAGTGGATTCACACTTTCACTTGCTGTGACAAAACTTTGTCATGCGTGGGGGTAGAAGGCTGTTGATCAAGTGCAGACATAGCCTTAGACATTAGAATCCCTTACTGCAAGAACTTTAAGAATGGGATTTCTCTTTGGAGGCCTTCATGAACAAAGAGATGAAGACTAGTAACGGTAATATGTTGAGAAACATACTTTGTAAGATGGCTGATATTGCAAATTGGCTTTTAAACATTCTGTTTTTAATCGAAACAACTACATTGATTTGATTGCCTGACCTGCTCTTCATCCACCAATCCATCTCTACCCAGAATTACAACTATAATTCCAAACCTCTGAGAAGCTTCAAGCAAACTCCAAAGAGATGTTTCCTCTCCAATGTGGAATAGATTCTGCCACACACAAAAAACTACACTGCTCTGAGATACAAAACAGGTAATTTTAGGTCTTGGACTTGGGTTTACAGTCCATTCAAGGACTAGGAACAGATATAAAGTTCCAAAGCCAATGACAGGATTAGGCCACCCAACTCCCATTACTTTCAACAGGGTTCTGTGGCTAAATTCTCTAGCTAGCTTTCAGAATTTCTCACCTACACTATAAAGTTTTGTGGGAAAATGGCAGTTTTTCCAAAAAATCTTCAATTACGTACACACTACAATCGCATTCTTTTGAAATAAAATTAAAAGAACAAATGGGATTTTCTGGCATTGGTAATCCTCTTTCTATGAAGCAGAAGCCTTTTTCCAAAAGAGCTCTTTTGGAAAAAGGCTTCTGCTTCATAGAAAGAGGATTACCAATGCCAGAAAATCCCATTTGTTCTTTTAATTTTATTTCAAAAGAATGCGATTGTAGTGTGGACGTAATTGAAGATTTTTTGGAAAAACTGCCATTTTCCCACAAAACTTTATAGTGTAGGTGAGAAATTCTGAAAGCTAGCTAGAGAATTTAGCCACAGAACCCTGTTGAAAGTAATGGGAGTTGGGTGGCCTAATCCTGTCATTGGCTTTGGAACTTTATATCTGCAGGGAACCAGGAAATCCTCCATTTCAGTGGGATATGATACTTATTTCTAATTTTGATAAGTGGTATAAGAGCACACCTTGAATCTGTGACACTATTATTTACAGGATTGGTGCTTTAGGCCATCTCTAGGTTTCTGAAATTCATTAGTTATCTTTCTCTCTCCTTCCAAACTCTTTCTAATTAAAGCCACAATATTAAAGGAGCCTGACTTTACAATCGGAGGGAATGAACAATTATGCTGAGATAGAACTGGACTTTGGGTGGCCCTGGTGCAGGCTGCAAGGGTGGAAAGCAAGGAAGCCAGAAATCTTCCTCCTTTTCTCCCCTCTCTACTGCATTCATTGTCTGTCATTTCTTGCAGAATTTGCTCAATCTTTATTTGCTCCTTCATGATCCCAGAGCGGAATGCAGCTGTGGAGTTGCTATTGCTACTTCTAGTGACTGTGAATTCCTCTCTTCTTATGCTCCATCTGTGTCTGCCAGATCCATGGGTTCAAAAATCATGAGTCAGTCCCCAAAAAATCATAAGATTGATCTAAATAAATCATATTTTAACCACAATATTAGATTATTTGTATTTGCCTTCTAGTGTCTGAACCCTTTAAGGTTCCCATTTCCAAGCTTTTCTTTATACCATTAGGGTTAGAAACTTGACTGTTTTTTAAATGGAAACTGAGGTTCTCAGGTAAGTACCCAAGACACTTTAAGAAAACTACTAAACATTGCAAGATATAGTTAAATTACTAGGATGCGCAAAGGTGAATACAAACTTTGGGTTCAGGTCCCATTAACGCTGCAAAATGAAACCATGCCCTAACTATGTCAGTGGAGAACTGCGATGCAACTAGCTCCCCAA